GGCACTGTAGTGGACAGCGTCCAGATTCTATAAGAAGTGTGCACCCAGGATTCCGAAGGCGCCACAAACCTGGCATAGAATTCCGGACTCCAAAACCATCTGGGTAGGCTCACGGTGAAGGCATCCCGACCAGGCCAGTTTTGCCTGTGCAAAATCTAGTTACCTTACCGGGTAAGTCCAGAAGTCCAGACGTGAGCGCCAGGCGCGAGATAATCTGGAGGAGAATATAACGCGTCACAACGTCTGGGGTTAAGTCATATCTTCTGAACCCAGACGCCCTGGATTGTCAGGTACCAGGAGGGTGGAGATATTGATCGCGAGCTCCTGACGAAATCATGAGGGGTTCAGAGTGGGAGGGATCTCCCGAGGTGAGAAAGAGCAGTCTAGCTCCATCGAGATGCTAGGCAGAAGAATTAGGGTGACTCAAGACGCTACTGGGACCCAAAGAGGGGCGTCGGGATGGAGGGGCACGAGGGCAACAGTTTTCGGAATGCATGGCACGCAGGGATCAGAGTCCAGATAACATCTGGATATGGTGCGGCGCAGAAGCAGGGGTCCAGATGCTAGGGGCAGCGCCAGTGCATGCTGATTAACGGTTTGTGTCCTGTGAATCCTGTGCGTCTGATGCACAGGACGCACAGGACGCGACTTGAAATTTTTGCTGATGTATGACTGGATCTGATATAACTGAACTGCCAGTTCTCGCTGCTTCTTCACTTGTTACAAGTCTGTGACTATCATCTTGGAGGTCTAAATCCGTCTCACTGTCTCTGGTAAAAGAATCCATGCTGTTATGATTAAGTGTCGCGTTATAGATACATTCTAAGGTTAAGAATCGTACCAGATGAGAAGGTATGACAGGTAGTGATTCTTACCAGGTATTAAGGTAATAGTTCTGAGGCCTTTGCATATGTGAGGTAGATAGTCAAGTCCTTTGACTTCTATCAAGTCGTGCCCATTCCTTAATCTTCAAGGTTCTCACCTAGTACTTAACTCCTTGCTATGGGAGGAAGGGCAATTCTTGGGTTTGTAAAGTAGAGTATAGAGTGTCAAGATATTTTTCCTATAAAATACTAAGTGTAGGAAATAAACTAAACGAACATGTGAAGAGCTCATACTTGAGGTTCAAGTGATCTTTTATATGGTTGCTCTTCGCCCAGCATGACTCATACCTTGTGTCATGTAATCCTTGTAACTCATAACTACAAGTCATATGAAATCTATCAGCTAACTCCTATGAGTAGCTAAGCAACATACCTTAACCTTGTCAAAACTGGATAACCAAGTCAGGTACACAACTTGCATCACCTAAGCCAAACCCATAACTCATAATCTGAGTTATGTGTGAAAATCATAACATCATGTGACTCACGATTGTGAGTCATGAACAAATAAACATAATAGCCTGTGGTATACTAGGCTGTATTATGTGAAATTGCCACCTACCTACAGCTTGGAATCCTGAACTATGTAAAATCTGCCTTGCTTTTAGTCACAGTTTGTAACATGTTATAGTCAAACACATCAACACTTATCTTTTCCCCAACAGTCCCTCTTAGTTACACGAAGGATGCACACCTGTGTAAATCGGAGTTATTACCTATCTTGCTTAAGAGAATTAAGGATAAGAACTACTACCAATCTACCTTCATAGCAAACTCCTCCTCACTTAGCCTGCCTGAAGTATACTCTTTCTACCATGTTATATTTTCGTATACAGTTATTTTTAAGATATTGCCATACTAAACACATATGAACAAAGTTGTCTCAATCTTGATTGTGAACTATAAATACCAGCAGTGTTTGCTTGATAAGCTACTATGATAGCAAAACCTATGAGTACTACCTGTGGTCCCCTATCTTCAAGGCACTTCTACTGCGATAAGAATTATACTTTTTGAATCCTCAAACAACCCCCAATAAGCCTGTGGCAAAGGGGCACATTTGGACTTGATTGATACAAAGCCTTCCTGCTCATCTCCTTGACACCCTGGGACTACCCTGATGACTTCTCCAGATATCTTATACTAACTCTGTCAGTTTTGGCATGGTTTCCTCCATTCAACTTGGAGAATGTACTTGACCTTCCCACCTTGCCTCTGTCACAGTTACATATCCTTCCAGCAATCTCTGGTGCAGCAGATGGCAACAACTCATACAGTACTATAGACATGTCTTCATTGACTCCACCTAACTCGAAACACGGAAACTCCACCTGTTTTGGCCCATGACACCCGGGACTCAGGCCTGAGGTATCTGTCAGGAGTCTGATGATGACCAAAACTATCATAAGGTATGTGTATGTTTGATAGCAACGGTGCTGTTCGGTGCTCGGCGAAATGAAATAAAACAAGTAATATACTAGTATGATTGTTTCCAATTCCGAATCACAACCCATGACCCTGCCATACTCTCCGTTCACCACCTGCAATGTGTTGGCAGTATAACTTTGCACCCTCTATAGTGCGAACCGCACTTCCGCTCACTCACTATCCTACTCCAGCGCTATTCCATACCCATGAGAGGTGGAGCTACCATTCCTGAAGAAACCGAAACAGCCCACAGCATTAGTCCAATGAGCTCTGTGCCCTTGTAGAACCTTCACACCAACGAGGCCTGGTGCTTAAACATTCTGAGACACCTATTGCTCCTGGTAGTACTCATCCTGTCCTGGCGTTTGTGAACACAACCGGGCCTGCATTAGTTCCAATAAGAGTGCATTAGTGCACTCCCTGGACAGTAACCAATGAGAAGCAAATAGATACCTTAGTCAGAAATGATAATATATGACGTTCTTGCTCGTAGATGTAGAAGTATAATGTACCTCCCAACTTCATTCTTTCAATATAGTCCAAAATGCCAGCAACACATGGTCCGCCAACATCTTTGAGCAAGTGAGGTCAGGTCCTGAGATATTCAATACTGGATGGACCTCACAAAATGACATTAGCTCAAATATCAGAGATGACTGGGGTCCTGAAGAGTACCTGCTCTAATATCATTAGAACAGCCAAACAGCAAGTCAGTGAAAATGGCATTTCTGACCTGTATGCTACCGAAAATCTTATTTCTTTACCCAATTCCATCAAGGGTTCCAATCAGGCCCTGACAGATGCTCAAAAGAGTCATTTGGTTGAAACTGCATTAAAAGATGCTGAACATTCTCGAATGACGTTCTCGCAACTTGCAGCAGCTGGTAATAGTTTTTTTTTTAATTACATATTATTTGCCAATAAATAAATGTACATAAAAGCAAATTTAAATGTTAGCCGACAAACTGTATCCCGAGTCCTTGCAGCCAATATAATCTTTCCCTGAAAGCCAACTATGAAGCCCGCCCTCAGCCCAGCCCAGAAAGCCGCACGTCTTAGCTTCTGCAATAGTTATCGAAACCTAGATTGGAAATCAGTCATTTTTACTGAGGAGTGCTACTTTGAAACGGGAAACTTACATTGCTGCCATGCTCATGGAGTTTTAAGATGTGCCAGTGAGGCTTATAAGCCTCAAAACCTCCAAAGAAAGTTTGCACAGGGAGCAACTGTGATGTTTTGGTGAGCAATTTTGTATGGTAAATCAGGTAATTCTATTGATTATTTTCTTATTGTTATTAGTACTATTTTTTTATTATTATTTATATTTTCTTTATTATTAATATTGCTATTTTAATGTACATAATGGCTAATAAAATATATTTTAAAAGGAAATAAACTTCCATACCATATGTACACTTCACCTTATGAAACTACAAATCAGCAAAAGGAGGCATTAGTAGTTCTGCGGAGAGAGTATGAAGTAGAAGCAGAAGAAAATACTCGGGCACAAGCAGGTGGATTTCCAGTCCCGTTCCCAGATCCTGCACTCAAGGTTTGAAAACTTGATCGCCATGGGGGGATAGATTGGTATACCTATCGGGAATATATTTTCATCCCCCCTTCTTTATCCTTTTACACAGGAGGCCATAGAGCAATTTCCTAATAGGAATATTATAATAATGGAGGATAATGCTCCAGCACATATCTACTATTATTATAATATTTCTAGGAAAAGGTTAGGATATCGGAAGTTAGTTTGGCCAGCTAACTCTCTGGACTTAAATCCAATTGAAACAATTTGGACTAAGTTAAAGGATAAGTTACATGATAAAATCGGTCATCAGATGTTGGTTCATGAGATCCGCTGGGTTCTTGAACAGGTATGTATTATTATATTATTACAAATATACTATTAATTTAACTTCTAATACAAGAAATTCTACTAGGAATGGAAGAATTATCCTGTGGAGCGAATCAATCACCATATTGAATCAATGTCCACCTGCATTGAAGCTTGTATTACTGATAATGGTGGCAACAACTTTAATTTCTAAATCTTGTATTCATCTTTTCTTCTCTCTCCTGTTGTTTCTTTCTTCATTTATTATTTTTTTATATTTTTTTTATATAAACTACAATTTCTTGCTTTCACCACCCGTGTTATTTTATTATTCTTCAATATAATTTTAGTTTGCTTACCCAATCAAAATGCCCTTGATACATGCTAATCCAGCTCTGTGCACGCTAATGCAGGGCTGGTTGTGTTCATAAACGCCAGGACAGGACGAGTACTCGCGCGGCCGAGTTGATGTTGGACACCCAAATAGAGTAGTGATCGCTGAGCCAATCACTGGTCATATTTATTCCACTAAGATGACCAGGATGATTCTATATATCGTATAAGTTAGTTGGTAGCAAATTAGAATCATCATCGATCCACAGGCGGAGGTTTATGGAGTCTTTTTTTGTACCGTATCTGATTATAAATTGTGTTGCCCTGGATGGGTCTGTTATTGGCCCGGCGATCGCTACTCTCTATGGGTGTCCGACTTCAACTCGGCCGCGGGAGTACAAGTATTATATCATTCAGACACAGCCACTCTGCTGCGGTGCCATGCCCCCTCCCGAACACCCGTAAATACACCACTTTCTCGATAGTCACAACTATTGAATAATAATAATAATAATTCTTCATACCACAATATAACTGGTACCAGAGTCCCGTGTATGCATATTGGTTGGAGGACAGAACAACCAAGCCCGCATTCTGTCGTGAATATGGATGCATTAGTGGGCGAACGAGTGTTTGCTTGGTGAAAAAAACAAAAAAACACCTCGTTAGTTTGCTGTGGCAAATCGCCATGATTCAACCGGTCAAGAAATGGAGGTGGGGGAAGGAAGGGAAGAAAAACAAGCAGCAAGTCCACCAGGTAAGCCGATCTACCTGCCCAACCCAGCCCAAACAAAGGAAAAGGATAATGAAGAAAAAAAAGATCGGAAATGAAAAAGATAAAAAGCAACCAAAAAAAAGCTCCCTAGAAAAGCTCCGTATTTGGTGGATAATCTCTACACCTTCCCACCAACATGTGCCTGCGGCATCCCGCTCGGAGGGGAATGATACGGATTATTGCTGCCCGTAGAATGCGCCAACGTTTCCCCAGTTTGATGTCCAGTCACAGGCGAGTGCGGGACTGGCTCAGGACTTCTCAGTGGGGCCGCTGTCGGTGGGTGATACTGTCCTTGCTGTCCCCGAGTATCCTCCGCACCAGCAGCATGATAATTCCCACCAGAGAGCCCCGGAGTGCCGGAGTTTTGGCCTTGCTGGCCGGGGGAGTATGCGGGCGCAGGGGTTGTGGGTGCGTAGTATTGCGTGTAAGGGCCCTGGTGTTGAGGGGGGTAGTGCTGTGGTGGGTAGGTCTGGAAGTGGTGGACGTCGTGCGGGGAGTATTTTGGTGGGGCCATCCAAGCGGTGCCATAGACTGGTTGCAGGCCCGCCCGACGACGGCGGCGGGAAGTTATCAATCTATGATCCGGGTTAGTGGTGGGAGATGGACTAAGGCAGTAGACGAGGAAAGAGACGGGGAAGTACCCGCAGCAACCGACGACCAGGAAGAAGAATAAAATGATAACCGCTAAAGCTACCCATCGTCCCCAGGTATCCCAGCTAGAGTAGCATTCACCGGTATAATAGCATCGGTCGCTGTGAAAGAAAACGACACGGGGTCAACGACGAGCCCCTCTACACCCTCACGATGGCGATCCTAGGAACCAGGTAAGGGGGCCAAACTCACTAATAATCCCTCCTAACCAGCCTCGAAAAACCCCTCTCGATATTATCCATCACTCCTTCCGACATTATCTTTCGGAGATCTGCACGAAGGGGAAACAATCCCTTTCCTTCTTTCCTTCCTTCAGAGTGCACCCTCGGTGTTCAAATACTCTTGCAGCGGTGCTGGTGGTGTAGGTGCGATGGGAGTTGAGTGTGCCTCTCTCTCGGAAAAGGAATAACGGTAAGACAGCCTAGTCTGCGGAAAGGAAAAAATGAAAATGAGGGAGCCCCTCTTCTTTTACGAGTGCCGGTACTCGAGCGCTGTACGGTACTCTAGTACCGTACCCGTACAAGTACAACGCCCCACTCTTCCTACTAGTGTTCGTAGATTGCCAACACTAATGACGCGTAATATCCGTCAGCCTTGGTTAGGTGGGGAAGAACTGAGTGATCTCTGCCCCAAAGTCACAGCAGGTATTACGGGTAGGGCGGGTCCATAGAGCATTTGTTACAGGCGCAGTGAACCTCCAGCTACTCTGTGCGGGTAGAGCTGAGACCGAAGGTGGGTACTTTCAAGCACGATGGTCTGTTCCCCTCTTACCGGTATGGTGGGGGACTTGTGTAGCCGGAGTAATTTGCCAAGAAATTATTGCTCAACTTCGAGCCACAAAGGCGTTTCAACAACTGCTCTGGTGAGAATTATAGCTCTATTAGATGGTACAGTAGGAGGTCCTCTAGACATTAATAGAGAGAAAATGAAAATACCACAAGTTTTCATGGAGTTATAAGGGTTTAAAACTAGGTGAACTTTTGGGGAATGTCTGGAGAATGTTAATTTCTGTTAATTTCCTTGGCATAGTCAGTTAATGCATGTTTGCCAAGAGAATAACCTCTATTAAGTCTACTGCTTGGCATATTAAATTACTATTACTAAGCTTTGACGAATATTAGCCCGCTCCGGCTACAGAGGTCCCCCACCATAGTCTGGTGGATGCTGATTGGAAGTGCGGGGGACTTACCGAGTTGCACGAGCCTGTGCTCTGTTCCAGATGTGGCTGCTCACGGGCAAGAGCGAACACTGGTGCTACGCTGGTTTCGGGCTCTTTGGATGCTGGAAAGTATGTTTTACAATTCCAATGGCGATTCCTAGATTCCCCGGAGTTGTCGTGTAGACTATCCTGCCAGAGAGTGCTCACCTCACAATGTACTCGTACAGTACTGTACCGTACTCCAGTATCATGTGAGCCTACCATAGACTCAGCAATCCCAAACCTCCTAAGACAACCCATCTCCCCCATGACTTGCCCTCCCCCTTCTTCTACAAACAGCCAAACTTCCGTGCTGGTATGGTATCCCCTACCTTGACACTGATAACTTATCACACAACACCACTCACCCACTCACTCACCCATCCGTATTGTGCGAGTACAAGTAATCACATAAGCACGAGTACAAACCGGCCTCATCGCCGCAGTCTTTTCTTCTCACACACTCTCGCTCCCCCTCTGGCCCACCACTGACCACGCCCGTGCTCACTCTCGTGCTAGCCCGGGTACGGTGTCATACAGCGCGGGGATCACTTAAAAAGAGGCAGCTGGGCGATAGCCCGTGTTACGTTAGGTCGCAACCGGCTTCTGGGGGGGAGTGGAAAGAGAAAAGTGCAAAATTGCAAAATTGCCCTAAATCGGGAGGGCGGAAAATGGAATCAACAAAGCCGAGAGGCGGGAGAGGGACGCGGATTTGTGGTGAACTTCGAGGTTCGGGTGGGGGGGGCTCCTGAGTAGACGTAACTTATCATATCCGGGGAGAGGGGGGGGCGAAAAAATCGGTGGTGTGGGAAAACAGGGAATAATAGTGCGTAGGTTCCCGTGGATTACCATAGGGGTTTTCAAAGTTAAAAACATGATTTTTCAGTAATGAGTAAATGCCGGAAGTTGCATAAGCTTACTTTCTGCTATTGGCCAATAGCATTCTCATGGTCTAGGTTCCATATTTGAAAGTCCTAAGATAGAGAGAGTAAGAAACCTGTTTGTGTCAACAAAATATTAAAAGTTAGAAGAGTTTTATCAGTGAGGGAACATAATTATTCCTGTGGTGTGCTGTTCTAGTTTTTAAAATTGGTTTTCGATTTTTTAAAATGTTCTTATAATTATTACATCTGATTTTAATAATTTGGTAAAGTTGTGTGAAACCAAAGCCAGTTTCTGTTACCAACCTCCAGACCTTTGTCTCACTCCTATAATATAGTAAAGTTAAGTAGTAGTAAATTAGCCACTTCTGTGTATGCTAAGTTTAAATAAAACAGCAAAGTAAGCTAAATTTTTAGTATCCTTTAGCTTTGAAACTCCTAGTACTATATGTATAGTGAGTACTATATACTCAGATAGTTAACATTTTTTATATGGTAAGTTACTATCCTACATAATACCTAATAGAAGACGGTATAAGAAAAACACTACTACAAACTTCAAAATAAAAGTATTCAGAAAAGGCTGGCTGGTTATAAGATTATAGAAAAGCCTGTTTCAGGAAAAAGCAAGATAAAAATGAAATCAAGGGAAACTCAGGTACTGCAAGTAGGAGAAAGTACTAATATGAATGATATTAGATAAAAGTAACAAGATAGGAATTCAAAGAGAGGTGAACTAACAAAGGAACAAGGACAGAAGAGACTTTCAATTTTAGCATAGGTGGCATCACTACTTACAAGTTAAAGAGAAAGGGAATAAGGTTAGCTAATAAGAGTAGGTTGGATGACCAAGGAGGCAGTAGGAACAGAGGATAAAGGCTTGCCAGTATTTTTGAGAAGAGTCAGTAGATAAAAAAGAGAAGAGAGCTGTTATTACCTACATTAGCAAAATAAACTTGGTATCTAACATGTGGGTAGTAGGTTCTAATGCCAGGTTTTATTCTTTTATATCTCCTGTATCCTGTGAGTTCTGACTTCTATTACAATATGACCCTACTTGTATGTCCTGACCCCTATTGCAAAGTTCCCTTCTAGCTTGTATGTTTTGATATTTATTGCGATACTCTCCCTGCATCCTGTACATCTTATCACTACTAGCCGTACTTGTTTGCCTCCCTCACCCTCTTGCTCCCTGGTTCAACATCTGGATCTAGTCCTAAACCTACTACTGTAATACCCTCCCTCTGAGCAGAACATCAGCAAAAATTTCACTTTGCGTCCTGACTATCCCTGAGACCCTTTGTCACTTCCTGCTATCGTCTCATTCTGCTCCGTCCCATCTGGCTTTGCCCACCCCCTGGCCTTTGACGTCCCAACCCTACCCGTCACTGGCAGCATTAATGTTGATATTTTAAACGACTCCGCTTAACTCTTGACGTGACGACTCGCCGCCCAAAGATCTGGATTATCTCCCATCTAAACTGGTGGTCTCAATCTCTACTAGTACACTCTGGAGACTTTTGCGCCAACGTCCCTTGAGCCCAGATCTTTCAACTTACATACCGTTTGCGTCCCCTGGTGCTGGTCTCTAGGCCAGATTCTCCCGCTACCAATCAATCATGATCCGGACCTTCGTGGCTCCTGGTTCTCGCTAGCCGATATTTCATGTCAGAATACGTCGTGGATGTTTCCTCCTCATCCATACCTAACAGACTTATTTGCCTAATCTCGTGGGATTCCCTCTAGTTGACCCTGACGCTTTATGTACAAAATTATGCCATCGCGGTGAGATCCCGACTACGTCTCCATCCCCTCATGCACACTGGCTCCTACGGTGTCTCCGCACAGTACCTCTTCCGATCGTGATTGCTCCAATCCTCCTTCACCCATAACCTAGTATCGACGTCACGAATTCTCTCCCTGCCTCTCCGCCGTGATAAGCAACTACAATGGCCCGGCCGGTCCGGTAGGATCCCTTTTGGCCGCTACTCCATGTTCCTCAGGTGAGTACTCAACACTAAGCGATAGCTGTGTGGCCGGAGGTGGGCTGCTAACAATCTCCTTCGGTCGACATGCGATGTCCTGGAGGGATGCACCGATTGGATCAGAATCAAGCAACGTCAGTGCCAGGGCAGCGGACGTCTGACCGGAACTTGCGGTGACACCGGTGTCCTGCAACTCATTTCGTCTGCCCCGTGGCCTCACTGGGACGAGCATGAGTGAATTAGTCACAGTGTTACTGCGCCAGGGGGGGGGTGGTCGCGATTCCAGGTTCGACTTCCGGCTCCCTAATTCGGCACTGACCGCTTCCCAGTTGTCGTCATAGCCTTCTCGTCGGTCTTGGTGGACACCACGTTTTTGCATGATCTTCTTGGTAATCATTTGACGAATACTCTCAAGAATACTCTTCTGCATTCCCTGGGGACATTTCCGCCATATCTCCGTCTGCCTAGCAATGAGGTCTCAAGTGTTTGGTGGAGGGTTAGCCAGATTCGTCGCACATGTACGCCCGATGATTCGCATATACTCACCTTCTACTAACTCACACTTGAAGTCAGTTGGCTCGGTATATGTACCGGTTTGCCACGCCCTAAGTGTATGACGGAGTATAGCACACATCAAGCAGACGGTAGTACCATTGATCATGTCTAGGAAATCCGGGTCTACCATACCCCGCATTTTCTTCCCTGCGAAGTACTTACCATATATCGTCTCTGGGATCTGTGGTACAAGGAATCGCAGTTTCAGGCCCTGTCTTGCGATGGCCGTCGTCAGTGGCAGTCACATGTAATTGTATGGGAGCGTCATCTGCGGGAGTCCAACCTTGTACCCTTTAGGGTCGCACATAAACCTGTCTTTTTCCAGGAGATAATCAATCCTACGCCACGTACCTTGGGTATCTTCTGGTAGTTCATATAACGCTGTAATGTGATGCTTCACATGGTAGACGAATTGTGCCCTTACTCCCGACTGCTTCTGGCGTATCTAACTGGATCAATACAATTTCCTACTTCTCCCCATATCTAGGGGACTTTACTTACTAGGCTTACAATCTCCTCTGATGGTTCCATACGCCCCACACCTGGCGTCTTACTCCCCTTGTTAAGAATCCTTCCGGGTAGGACCTAGCGACTGGTAACGATACTTCTCTGTAAGGTGATAGCTCTCAGGCCTATGCCTACAGGATCCCGATAGTCTAGTCCTTTGACTTCTATCGTGTTCGCGTCTATCTCCTTAGTCTACTACTTAGTCCTCGCTTAGGACTTAATCTCTTCTCGTGAGAGGAAAGACACTTCTCGGGTTTCTTAAGATAAATCTTACAGAGCGTAAAGGTAGGTTTTATTGATAATACCTTAAAGGTAGGAAATAAACAAGCAGAACGTGTGAAGAGCTCATACTCAGGGCCCTAGTGACCCTTTATATAGTTGCTCTTCACCTGGCGTGACTCACACCTCGCGTCACGCGAACCCTGTGACTTAT